CAAAGGCATTGCCTACTACCCTAAATATACTGAACTATACTGAACTAACTGATCAAGCGGCCAGTAACTCACTCTTGCATGAATTTTACGCATTCACGTCCATCTCACCCTAGCAAGTAGACGTGCGGCGGGGCTTCAGACGACCGCCGGGTTTCTGTACACAACACCTGCTGATCTTTCCCCTCCTTTTCCTATACGGAATAGGGTGTGATAATTGTGGTGATCTGAGTACAAACACTACAAGTGCAGCTTGGATCAGCATTAGATTGCCTTGGCTTATATCCCCCCTCCATCGTGTGGCATAAATAGCTCCGAGTCAATCTTACTGAGGAATTTAGATGAAGCCGGTGTCTGACGCGTGCCACTGACATCCACTTTTAACGCAACAGCTATACCAATTTAGGACCCCAAGCTTCATACACATGCCACAAGGGAGCTTTAGATCGAGTAACTTGTAGGTGAATGCCCTTACTAAATTGAATTGAGTTAAAGGAGAGAGCTGTTTACCTTCAACTCCTTTAGTTTTTCTTATGTGATGGCTCAGTCAGAGGTTAGTAATCAGACACAGTTTGGTGCGATATGGTCACGGTGGAGATGCTCGGAATTGGCTCTCGGTAAGGTAGTTTGTTCCTAAATTTAGATTAATTTTCAGGCTTTCAATGTTTCTGGTTTTTGTAAATGTGCACTTTCGAGGATTCCTCTTAAAGATGTTCTTTTGCAATCCACCTAGATGAACGGATGGTCCAACCGAAATGATGCCCCAGACGGCAAGGACTCCAATCACATGATCAATGTAATTCGAAAGCTATTCAAACTGAAGAAACCGGTCCTTCTCCTGACCGACTACTTCCAAATGCTAACTGGGCTTCTGGAGTTGTCGAACATCTCCAAAGAGGTATTCCTTTTAAACATATCTTCTGTGTGCTTGCGATTTTTCTGATTGAGATAACTTACGCAGCCTCATTGTGAATCCGGCGTTTCGGACGGTATCGGGAAAGGCATCATCAGGTGGCCCCGCTTGAAATGCGATTTTTCTGTTCTGTTTGCGCCCTATCAGCTGATGTGCTCGTCTGCATGAAATATAATCGGTGTTTCTTTTCCCTTTTCGCTAGACACTGTGGTCGCTGTGAGGTATTCAGTCCTCCGAGTCTAACCCACAGGTTTCCGGGTTTTGGCCTCCGAAAAGCACACTATCCTCAAACACTTCGTCTTGCGAGAGGGCTGTGACCGACAATGAAACAAATTTCTACCGTCACCAGCACCACGAAAGATTTACATGGTTTAACACCAATTTCGGCAAACGCTCTTTTTAGATCACTCGTCATCAGGCCTTTACTTTGGCATGGACAAGAAAGTAGTCCACTAGGTACAGGGATGCTATAGTTCTTGGGGCTGTGGAGAGGGTGATTATTCGTCTCTTCGGTCCCAGACCCCTTTTATCGCGGAGTCAGCATGTTAAGGACGTTGTGGTTCGGAGTGTAGGGACGTGCTCACGGTCGGCTGCGGTTCAGATCTGTACGTCAAACACGCGGACTCCATGTGATTGTGCTCCGAGGCTCCGTGCGATTCCCACCTGTAGGCGGCCAAGAGAGACGCACCGTCTGTATTAACCTCCTTTGACGGCAGAGAGCTGCTAAACGAATCGCTTCTGTTTCGGCTGAGGCGAGCACGCGTTTGTGTCAGCCCTTAGTGTGCTAATACTTGGGAGATGAGCTGAACGGTCTCTCTCGCGCGTCAACTTGGTGGTTCGTATCGATTGAGGCTGCGAG